TGAACATGACGTAATATGTTTTACATTGACGTAGGTTGAGATAAGGCCTATGGTGAACATGACGTAATATGTTTTACATTGACGTAGGTTGAGATAAGGCCTATGGTGAACATGACGTAATATGTTTTACATTGACGTAGGTTGCAATAAGGCCTATGGTGAACATGACGTAATATGTTTTACATTGACGTAGGTTGCGATAAGGCCTATGGTAAACCTGACGTAGTATGTTTTACATTGAAGTAGGCTGAGATAAGGCCTATGGTAAACCTGACGTAATATGTTATCTACAAAAGTTCTGTATGAACAGATGTCGACCTCTTGACTTTATATCGGTAGTAGAGAGATATATGCATTTCTCCATTAGTTCCGCACTGAATCCTGTGGATCTAAGGTTTGCAGTGAGACTTCCAAATGTTTAGATGAAGGATGTGAAAACGTCTGTGTGGAAGGTAAGTGTAACGAGCAGAAAAATACACTGTGCTCACTATAATATAATCTCTCTCAATCTAGTGAACTCATAGATCGGTCATACTATTTGATCTATGAAAGTTCTACAATACAGCTTTTTACATAACGTCTCAGCATTAGTATTTTTGAATTATGATATATTATATGTATTTGTAAACTGGCTAGTGCAGACGCATTTATTACTGCCAGGCCAACGGTTCGTTAACTCTCAGGACCAACGTGTGATTTTACCTTAGATCAACGTTTTTGTTAATATCCAATGCTCCACTCGAGGCAGTCTGAAATGATTGATCAACTCCAGGTACGATACTACGTTGGAAGCAATGTATTTGACAATTTGAATTCACCTTGAACTCTTACCATGCAATAGTAGGTCAAGGAAATATCCACTCTCTGGACGCTGAAAGTATATGAAAGTATCACCCTGAACATGTCCAAAGCCAATGAATGTATTTATATCATTGAAATTTCTGTCCCTTTTGACAGCAACGTGATTGGCAAGATTGGAAAAGCATGCTAAGTATGAGGACTTCGCCTTTGAAATGTCTCGCTTGCATCCCAAGTACACTGTCGTCAGACTCCATATTGTTCTCGGTGCCCTTGGTTTGGTACCTCCTGATCGCTTGGCACAGATCAGGTGAGAGCCCGGGTACTCCACCGGGAACACAGCCCTTCTGACACTTTGGGTAATGCAGAAGGCTGCAGTGTTGGGGAGTCTACATATTCTCCGGAAAGTTCTTAGTGGATTCTACTAGACAGCGTTTCCTGGGAGAAGTCCCATTCGCAGTCTGGGCTGCGTGTAGACGGGGCAAGGGCCCTGAGCTGATGATGAGCCTTACCAGCCTGACTGTAGGAGTATCACCCGAACCCTCTCTGCTGCATTTTCATCTTAATCTGTAAAAAATAAAAAATAGTGTAATTTTGCATAGCGCTGGATTCCATAAAGCGCAACATGTAATACAATGAAAAGCATTACAGAAGACTGGACATTAGAGAGAAAATGTCAACACTAGTAAGTCTGTGTACAGATTGGGATTCAGGCAAAGTAGATGGTGAAGAGGTGGGTTTTCAGCTGTAACTTAAATTGTCAAAGGATTGATGAATAAAAAGACAAAAACATGATATAATGAATTGCAGAAGAATTAGGAATAATTCAAATGAACTACAGTTATTGATTCGATATTTTAAACCGTCCGCGCTTTGTATCCAGGAAACCTACCTAAAATAGGACCCATCGGTTTGACATCCGTGGGTACAGTTCCTACCACTCTTGGTCTGTTAAAGCTACAAGAGGCACTTCTATCCTGGTGAGGCAGGGCATCCTCCCAAGCCTTGGCTTTAAGTTTTCAAAACCAAAAACAAATTGCATTCACTTTGACCTCAAATACAAACCGAACAAGGATCCAGACTTATCTTGAGATGGTACTCCCATCAAGGTAGTGGAAGAGACCAAGTTGCTTGAACTCATGTTTGTCCGTCATTTGATGTGTTACCACACATAAAATATTTTAAAACAAAGTGCGTGAGGTCTCTTCACTAAAGGTCGTGTCAAATACTCAGCGGCGAGGGGATCAGACAACCTAACAGAACTAGTTTATGGCTCCATTGTCTATTGTGCAGCCTGCAAAAGCAATTTACAAAAATAGATTCTATCCACGACCAAGGCCTTAGACTCTGTCTTGGAGCTCCTCTCTGGTAGAAGTCTATACCTGGAGGCAATCCGGCCTCTCCTGGAACAACGCTGCATTAAACGTTCACTGCAGTATATCACTAAATTACGTCCAAACCAGTCCAGTCCAACATACACTGTTCAAACTTCTCCTTGAAAACCTTATCTGCCTAGCCTGGTTCCACCACTGGGAATCGGAATTCAACCACACATATATGCAACTTATCGACTTCTGTCTTCGCCAACCTGGCAGGTGGTTCAGCCACTGCTGAGGCTAACATTATCTTCACGGCTTTTACCAGAAACCTCATCTCATTTTACAGATTCACTATCTTGCCTACAGGCTTTATAACATGTCACTACGAGTCACCCTATCATCTTAGGCATTTTAGATGTTCATAACGCTCTTTCTACTTGCCAATGTGACATCGTCCTCTGCAGGTTACCGATGTATAGCAGGTAATACTAAAGCCGATGCTCTTGACAAACCGTTATTCTCACTGCCTGTCCTGTATTGTGATTTCAAACCTTCTATAAAAGGGTAGACTCTAGACCTTATGCAAGAAACGTGGGACACCGAGGTAGGAAGAAATAGAGTATGTGCTGAAAACGGATGGAGATTGATCTTTTATGAGTATCTCTTGTGATGAAGTGTTCACCATCAAGCATATTATGCTTAACTGTGTGGATTTTCAAATGCAAGGCATTCACATTATGAAGCAACAGATATGAAAGACCTGTTTTCCCACGTAGGCGTGCACCTCAACATTAACTACTTGGGGGAAGTTTACCTGTACTACAAATAGTAACTAGGAAATGTGAATGACAGATTGCTTGTTTTTAATTCCGTGGTGTGAGAGATAACTGATGACTGATTATGTAACAACTTATATATGTGTATGTAAAACCTCGCCACTGTATGGCTGAATTATTGACGAGGTGACGTTAAATATTGACTCACTCACTCACTCATCAACCTGGACCGCCTCCGTGGTGTAGTGGTTAGAGCGTTCGCCGGGAGAGCGGAAGGTTGTGGGTTTGATCCCCGACAGCGTCATACCAAAAGACGTTAAAATATGGTACTTGTTGGTCCCTGCCTGACGCTCGGCATTAATGGGTACAACAAGGACTGGCCTGCTCTGAGTCAGTTTAATGTGTCTGAGTGGGGTATTCATGCTTCACTGCGGCACGGTATCTCAGTGGGCTAGCACTATAAAACCAGCTTCAGTCTGGGCTAGTACAAGCAGACGCACATACACATACACACGCATGCACGTCGTCATATGAGCGAAATATTCTCCAACACGACGTTAACCCCAATTTCACCTCACCTCACCTCACTCATCAACTCTAATTATAAATTAAAATCAGTGAACAGACCCTGCTCAAAGCCCCGCATTATGATTGACTGTTTTTGGCCTACTCACTCAGTCACTAGCATTGAGGGCAAGACAGAGACGTGTGCATAGAGCTGACGTTCCACGATCAGATTCCCTGATCTGTTATGTATATCCATGGTCTGACCTTGTGCCTGGGTGACTAAACTTAAAAACAAAACAAAACATGTCATGTACTCTAACTTCTAAAATGCCACTCAAACAAGTCATGTACTCCTATCTATCGGTTCTCGGAATGTACAAAGATCGTCTTGCCGAGCTGTAACAATTGGAGTAAAAACAGGAATGAAGATTGAAAATAATCTTGACAACCGCGCCTGTCATATTCGATTTTTATGGTTTCCTCTGATTTCCTCAGAGAAGCACAACAACCACAAGATATATCCAACTGCTGATACTGTCTATTAGGCCCTATTTTATTAGGCACCATTACACCAGATCGTGGCTCATCTCTTTGTGTACTGCAGAAGTCAGATTTTCTCAGTTTATTTATCATAAATGTCACATAAACGCTGCATCATCCTAATGAAGCACTCGTGCATTCGATCTCCGGTTATAATATGATTTCCTACAACTTTGATCTTGTCCCTTCCAAACTTCTTCTAAACTTAGATATGTATAGAGTTGAACTTTGTTTTACAGCTTCACCACTGTGTGACCTCCATACCGCCTCAAAGACCGGGGACCTGTCAAGGGTGAAACTCCTATTGTCACATGGACTGACGGACATTAATTGTCAAGAGTGGATTGGTAGAACACCGGTGATGTGGGCAGACGGTGGAGGACATAGAGAAGTGGTAGAGTTACTTGTAACTAGAGGCGCAAAACTCTCACTCGTAGACAGATTCGGCATCAACATCCTTCACTCAGCTTGTCTGGGCGGAGACGTAGATGTGGTGAAGTATGTCCTCTCACAGACCATGTTGGACATCAATGGTACAGTACAGTGCGGGAGAACAGCTGTGATGCTGGCAGCAGAGAACGGTCACGAAGACGTGGTGGAGTTGCTTGTGGACAAAGAAGCTGATGTGTCACTCGTAGATAAAACAGGTGACAACGTCCTTCACTGCGCCTGTCGAGGAGGACATGCAGAGGTTGTGAAGTATCTCCTCTTTCAGGACATGCTGGGCATCAACAGTCTAGGACATGGCAAGATGACACCAGTAATGCTAGGAGCAGGAAGGGGACATAAAGAAGTGGTGGAATTACTCGTAAAACATGCAGCTGATCTGTCACTCAACTCAATATTGGGAAACATCCTTCACCATGCATGCTATCACGGACAATTTGATGTAGTGAAATATGCTCTCTCACTGAACACGGTGGACATAAACAGCACGGAATGGAAGAAGAGGACACCAGTGATGATAGCAGCAGAACGGGGACATAAAGAAGTGGTGGAATTACTTGTAAATCATGGAGCTGAAATGTCACTCAGTTAAAAAGTCGTGAACATCCTCCAAAAAGCCTGCTACGGCGGACAATGGGATGTAGTGGAATTTGTCCTCTCACTGAACTTGGTGGACATAAAAAGCACGGGATGGAAGAAGAGGACACCAGTGAGGATGGTAAGAGAAAAGGGTCACCAGGAAATAGTGGAACTACTCGTAAAAAATAAGGCTAATCTGTTACTAAGTGATAAACATGGAGACAACACCCGTCACTGTGCCTGTAATGGGGGACACTTTGATGTGGTGAAATATGTCCTCTCTCTGAACTCGGAGGACATAAACAGCTCGGGAAGGGAGGGGAGGACACCAGTGATGATAGCAGCAGAAAAAGGTCATAAGGAAGTGGTGGAACTACTCGTAAGACATGGAGCGAATCTGTTACTAAGTGATAAACATGGGGACAACACCCTTCACCGTACCTGTAATGGGGGACATTTTGATGTCGTGAAATATGTCCTCTGTCTGAACTCGGTGGACATAAACAGCACGGGATGGAAGAAGAGGACACCAGTGATGATAGCAGCAGATTACGGACATAAAGAAGTGGTGGAACTGATGGTAAAGAATGAAGCTAATTTCTCACTCAGAGATGAAGACGGTAAAAGCATTCTTGACTTTGCCCGTCAGGGAGGATATTTGGAGGTGGTGCAATATGTCATGACACTGTTAAACCACTAACGCTGAGAGACAAAGAGTCAGCAGCCAAAGAAATGAGTCGACAAAGACGAGCAACGACACTGTTGGACATCCTTGCGTCACACGGTGTTTACATCTAACACGTGCATTGTTTGTGAATGGTTACATTATGTACAAAGAACATATAGCGTCAGGGTATAAGACCTACAGTAGCGGTAAAGGAAACTGTAGAACTAGCAGTAGTAGTAGTAGCAGTAGTAATAGTAGTAGTAGTAGTAGTAGTAGTAGTAGTAGTGGTAGCAGTAGTAGTAGTAGTAGTAGCAGCAGCAGCAGCAGTAGCCCTAGTAGTAGCAGTAGAAGTAGTAGTAGTAGCAGCAGCAGTAGTAGTAGTAGCAGTAGAAGCAGTTGTAGTAGTAGTAGCAGTAGTAGTTTTAGTAGTAGTAGTAACAGTAGAAGTAGTAGTAGAAGTAGTAGTAGTAGTAATTTTTTCCTCCTCCTGCACACACTTTAAAAAGTTTTTAGCCGCGTCAGGACCCCTGTACACTACGGGAGCTTTCGTTTCCCCATCACATCGGACGACCATCTCCAAACCCACAGGTCTCATGCTCTTGTGTTTTCTGTGTGAAGCTCTCACCTGTGGGTAGAGCATTGGGAGTACCCCCAATATCAACAGGTTTGACCAAGGCTTCAAAGTCGGCGTAGATGACATAAGGCACAGACATTTGGTTCTTGTGGTTGTCGAATTTTAGGATATTGTCACCTTCCTTAGGCATGTCGACTCGTATGGCCGTCTGCCCCATGCTTGGCAATCCTCCCGGTGGGATTCTTATAAATCAGATCGTGTGAAGCCATGTAGGTATCTTATGCAAAAATGTTTTTTCCCATCGTATTTCGATTGGTCGTGCAATAGCCTGCTGAGATGTTTTATCCACGTGTAGTGATACTTTTTACCTCGCTGGGTCATGAATATATTGATCACGCAGCGACCCAACAGTTGGGGCCCCCCAATGGACTGACCCTGTGTACTATTGTTGTGTTACCTTCGTGCCCAAAGACGTTTATGGCTATATCGTTCTGTTTTTCTATTTTAGTGATCTGAGATATTGGGGGTGGGTTCATCTGTACCATCCCAGTTGAGCCCATCGTCTTGGGGATAGCTAGAAAGCCTGTTCAAATTAGTGTCAACTGGAAACAAGGCTAACCTGAGAGCTACCCTCAGGCAATCGTCTCCTCTATTCTTGACGTTGACCATGGCCTGTTTTTTCTTATAGTAGAGGGGCAAGTCTAGGTATGACCCGCCTCTGAACGGCACGTAGTAAGCTATGTCTTGATAGACATTATCGATTTTATCTACACCCCACCCGGACCCCATGTGTGTGTAGCGTTCTAGGTATTCTCGTATTTGCTGAAAACTGGTATCGATTGATGCGTCTATGGTCTCTGTATGAGTAACGACCTCCTGTCTACCTCGGAAGTAAGGCTGAACGTACTCAGTGACCCCAGTGGGGGCTCCCCCCACTCCCACCTGTTTATCGAGTGACATTTTCGCTGTGATCTGAAACTTTATACTTCCCAGATTGTTTATTTCCTGATTGACTTTATCAATGATCGGAGGCTTGATATCTGTGATGTCTATGTTCCTATTAACATGCATGCGCCAGCCTCCCAAATAGCTGCCTACAGCGAGCTCAGTGGATATGAATTGTAGGTCGATAGCTCTATTCTGCCGTAATAGTTCTACAAGCTGTGGCTTCCTCATACGTGAATAACCACCTAACCCCAAATTGCGTACCTCGGCTTTTAGTTGGTTTACTGTGGGAGGTTTTGCTACGGGGTCATGTGATAACAATGCAACTAACCCGGCTCTCCCCAGGTTGGAATAACCCGTCAACCCAAGCTCTTTTGCTTGGTGTTTTAGTTGTTTTACCGTAGGAGGGGCTTGCAGGCCTAGTAACCGCAACAAGGCTTGTTTACGCATTTTAGAATAACCAGTTACACCTCGCTGCCTCGCGATCTGCTTGAGCTCACGAATAGTAGACATAGTTGCGTACACACCTAAGTATATCAATCACTAATTGGGCCGTCGGCAAGGAAGGTAACTCCTCCAACCTTGATAAAAAAATAGTGAGACGCCCATAAAATCCTTTAGTAAATATCTAGATAGACCTTATCAATTATTCCCTCGACCAACCGGAACATGCGCGCAGCATAGTAGGGTGTTTTGTATTACTTGCAACGAGTCATCAACAAGTATATCTGTCTTCCCATGCACATCTACTCGTCCACCATCAAAGTAATTCCAAGTGTGCCCAGCCCACGGCAAATCGAACCCTACTTTCACCATGATTGTAAACGAGCACCCCTTATATAGTTCACTAAAAATCATGGGTTTGAGGACACTGATATCTATACTTTTCCCCACATCCATCTGCCAGCTTCTCAGGCAACTTTCCCAGGGCTCAATTTCCACAAACATAGTTATACCTAGGTGTGTCCTCCTCTAATAGGGGTCTATCCTAAGAAGGCGCCTACGTTCTTTTATGTAGGCCTTTCTATTCTCGTAGATGAGATGATGTCTGACTACGTTCGCCCCTTGAGCTTTGCATCGGTAGTAGTGCCCTTTCACTCCGATACCACACACAGAACACTTGTAGTTAGGGAAACAACAGTACCCCTCAGTCCTACATCTTCTACCACAGGCTTCTTTCTTCCCCATAAGTATGTATTCGCATCGGTACGGAGCAGGCCTCATCTTTGGTATACCCATATGAGTACTTAGTCTAATTGTTTTGCAACCAACGCAGTCGCTGCTATCCCCAGTGCGATAAAGACCAGTTCCCGGTCCATTTGCCCCTTGGATGGTGTGTAGTACTGAGCGAGTGTGGGTTTATGTAGTGGTCTCAGCTGTTTACCTGTTAGTAGGTAGTATTCTCTCGCTGCGTCGTTGACATCGTGGAATGTTTTAACGTCATGGCTCTCACGCCTGAGTTGTTCGTTAATGTAATCGATCCTCTGAACACGTTTTTTCGCGTTCTCGGATTGGGCTGCTTGTAATCATTCCACAGCTAGGTCGTGCCGCTTCCTCTCTGCCTGAATCTCAGCCGCGTTTGACTCTCGTGGTTTTTTTCCCCTCCTTAAATTGGCAATGCTTTGCCGTGATAATCGCCGCCGTCAGCGAGGCTAACAACATACCTTATTTGTGGTACAGCACGCAGGTGATAGAGCTCAAGGCGTGTTCAATAAAAGGGTCTTTCTCAAGGGCCTCCCCCAGGTAAAGCCGGCGTTCCTGGGGAATGGGAAGGAATTATGACGCAATACTAGTGTATATCTGGGTCATAGCCGATCCTATTGCCGACGAGTCTAGCCTCGTATCTCGCGTACAGCTTATCGATTTCTTTGGCTGACATTTTGTGAATTTTATCGGTAGTGTAGTCCCCAAAGTAATGTTTGGCTTTGCCACCAACAGCGAACGCCACCAGTCTCTCTCGCTTAACATCGTCCCCTCGCTTATCATCGTCCCCTGGCACCAACAGTTGTTCGAGCAGTTCATCACACTCCATCTTATAATGTAACAAGCAAGTTTTAGTTTTAACAATATAATACCCGGTGCAGGCGAAACACAGCAAAATGAAGGTTAAAAAAAAGTCATAGCTTAGGTTTGCTTAGCATTTGCTTAGCTTTGCTTAGCTTTGCTTAGCATTTGCTTAGCATTGCTAAGCTAAAACACCCTATAGGCCACGGGTTAGTCGGTCTTGAGCACTAACTTGGCATGTTTAGTTTCAGCGAGCTGTTTCTTCACCGGTTCCCTATCATATTTACTCATCACATCATTCTCTCTCAAACACTCCTCTAACGAATCCCTGTCCTTGCAGTAGATAAGGCCACAAACAATATCGCACAAACAATATTCACGAACAAAAATTATTAAAGAATCTACCTTTCTTTCTTCTTCTATGTAGCGTTGATGTCGTGATGTCTTCAAGCTTGTTCAAATTGTGTGGTGCGAAAAACTGCGCATGCGCGAAATGTGGCGACATCTGGTGCATGCCAAGGGGCATAATTCTAATCCAGAATGGCAACGATTCGGATCGATACCTCTTCGTTGAAATTGTAATTACTTTTCACACAGAAAATGTCAGAAATGCATTTAAATTAAAGACAGGATAATAGTTTTTACAGGATCCGATTAACTATAAAAATGTTGATTTTAAGAACACATGATACTATTTCTTACATGATCCGATAAATTATAATATATCTTAAACTTTAAAAAAAAATTAATTCACTTCAAACGCATACAAAGATCATCAAAATGTTTTGAAGAGGCAAAAAATTAAATTGATTTTATTGGAGTTATTTTGTTTTAATTAATTACTTGTATTATTACAAACACCATGTCTAAGCTCGGATATCATTTTGTGGACTTAAATTTTCTGCACTACAACAAAACAATGAGAAAAGAATTGTTTCTGGAAGATATACATAAATTATAATCAACAATCTTGAAAGTAATACTGGTCAAAACGTAAACATCATTTAAACGTATAATCAACGTAGAGGCTTAGACGTCGAAATGGATACGTTGAATCAACGTCTAACAGACGTTTTTAGACGTCTAAACCAGATCTAAACTTCATCTAGACGTCTAATAGAGGTCTTGTGCCTGCTGGGGAGGCTCTCTTGATCTTCGAAAAGGATATAGTTTTCTACCATACATTGTTATATAAATGAAATATATAAGTTTTAATACTAAATAATGCCTGAAGGCAGTCATGAGGACATACCTATGGATGATATGTGGGATGATAGTGCCCAGGAGTATGAAACCTTGTTCACTAACAACCCCTTAAGTACTGAGCTTGTACAGCCGGCCATCGACGATTATTACAAAGCAGTTGAAAATAGAGATAATGTCAAGCCGTTGGGGCGAGACTATACCAAGTTTACCATCGAGAAGAAGGGCACACTGTGATTGAGGGCTTACCCGGGGGGTTGATATCATGAAAAAGACGGCAAGCCGTATGATCTGTCAACACTCACCAGTCGCCCTGGTGGGAGCCAACTGATCCGTGATGAACTAGGCTTCATAGATTACAGTGGCACGCGGCCTAAGCTTCCCCCGAAGGTCGTCAAGGTCTGCAAGCAGCCAGGGACGAACTCAGTAATACCGGGGATATACCCCAACGTGCTAAAGAAACATCGGACAGCGTTGAAAAACTGTTGAGCTCGTACTGGGACAAGCCTTTGCCCGGTCTCGAATTTCCCCTGACAGGGAACTGTACGGTCTAGACGAAGCCTTGAAACATGTATGCGGAGAACTCGGGAACAACATGGGGAAACTGAACGAAGTCGAAGAGCACATCACTCGTGAGAAAATAAAACTCACTGACCACTGAGGACGATGATATGAAACGGCGTATTGAGGAGAGAATAAAAAACTTGGGAGACGAGAGACGGACTCGGTTGGAATCCGCTTCCTCTTACCGGGAAGCCCTCCGATCACAGATCAGTCGAGTACGGGAAACCATCGATCGAGTCCTAAATGAGGACACCAAGCTAGCTGACAGGATCCGAATCCTCTTCCGAGAGCAAGGCATCACCATCGCCAGCATTCTGACTGCATTGGGCTTCATCATATCAACCCTGGTGGTGTCATTGACAGGGCGTACCCCCACGCCTGTCGGCGGCAGTGGCACACCGCCAAGAGGTGGGGGCGTCAAAGAGTGGATAAAAAAACTTGGGGAGGCCCTAGCTAAACTGGCTTGTAAGGCCGCCGAAGCCCTGCCCGGCATCCTGGGTAGCATCATCTCATGGTTTGCTGAGCGCTCTGCCTAAAACTGCCACGTGGCTTAGCCAAAATCTGTGGGCAGCCATCGTCGCCGTGGTGGGTTTGGTGTACGTAGCGTCTAAGGAATTTTTAACCAAATAAGTCCCACCGCGATCCCACAAACCACCAGTGATGTTTTACGGCCGATTTGCTGCTGACTGGACACTGCAGGCTGGGGCTGTGGGGGTGCTGGTTGAGCCCTGGGTTTCCAGGGGTGGCGCCACTATACCCGTTTCACCGGTCATGGGTGGTGGGACGTGGGGGTTGTTAACATCTGGGTTGACGCCCAACTTTTGGTCTGCCGTGGCTATAACTATTTCGTTGTTTTTTTACTCTCAGTTGCATATCGCTTGGAACCATGTACAACCCCACGTCGAAGACGTAGTCGACTTTCAACCAGGCCTACGCCAACACGTCTTGGTAGCATTTGATGGCACTCGGGATATCAACTGGAGAATTGATAGCATCCTCAACGTTAACAACGAACTGTTTCTGAGCGGCGTAAGCAGTCCCCTTACCGAGGATGTTGGAATGCGTTTGCGTCTGTGCACCCAACAGCGCCCACATGTACATTCGAATCAAGTCGTTCAACCTGATTACACCGTCACAAGTGAACCCTCTCAACGTGTCCAACATGAACTTTTTCCAGTCATCCGCTGCCCCCTGCTCGAACCTCCAGACTCGGTTATCCTTGCTGTTGTCGAAAGCCATGTAACGGTCATCCCACTCGTTCGTTGTGAGGTGATGATACGACTTGTAACCCCATTCTTTCATCTTCTCGCTGGCATCAACGAGGGGCATGTTGTGAACGATGGGGATACCCAACCAATGGTTCGGTCCCGACAAACGCCAATCCGTCTTAGGGCGTAGTTCGGATTCGTTGCAAATACATTCCTAGGCCCGTCTATCTTACTGGTTGTTTACTGCCTTCCATGCTTTGTCCTGTGGGAGCCGGGCGCTAATCTCATTGAGGAGATTGCTGATCGTCGGTGGCGCTCGCAGACAGATAACTGACTGCTACTACAGTGTGTGTTCACTAAGCGATGAGGTCTTCAAACCATTGAGGGCCGAACTCAAGATGAACGACTGAAACGGCACAGTGGTGTTAATCAACAACGGAAGAAACCTCTTGAGGCTCAGTTGACCATTGGCGAGGACACTCGGTATGTCGCCTGAAGAGATAAAACCAACGACTACCGTCACAGGCACGAAGTTACCCGAACTAGTACCATACCGAGAGCTGTGCATTCATCTCGGTCAGGTGAGCACAACGGACAACATTCAAGGGGGTCACCCTTCCACGATACTGAGAGCCGTACCGAAACAAGCCGTATATGCTCGTCTTCACCAAGGTGAAAAGTGGGTGTTGTTACCCGATAAAGGGGACTGGTTTCTCAATATTAGGCTAGGCTCCCCCTACGTGTTCACGGATAACAAAGACAACTACCTAAACAAAGTCGTGAACAACGGAACCCTGCTCGTGGCTTACATCCCGGCTCAGAGACGTAGTGTAGTCATCAGCCCAGTCACCAGTATGGCAGCCCACATGTTATCGAGTAGACTGGGAGTGCAAGACGTGACATTGCAGTTAGTGTCTGAATTTGCTCGCATGGTCAACGTCCTGGCTATCCTACCGGAAAACGCCACTCTGATCATCAAAGTCTACCTAGGGGAACCATCGCGGGATGAGGTCGAAATCGTGAAGGGGATCAAACTCCGGTGAGGGAAGCGGCACCCCCCAAAATCACACTTGGAGACCTAGGAGGCATAGAGGGGGTCGATCAGCGTGGCGAGGCAGACACCTCGTACGTCCTACACTTAAGAGGTGGTGTGTATGTACGCGTGCCTCTGGCAGAACCCAAATGGTTGCTCAACATTACCCTCACCTCACCTTATATCTCGTTAGACCAAGATGGGAATATCTTGTGTCTTGCCTGGGGATTTCATTCCGGGGTCTGATATAATACGTCCTGAGCTAACGCATGATGAAACGAGCAACATATTAGAGGCACACGTGAAGGGGGAGTTAAGGTTTTACGGTCCCGCTCCCGTGGAGCTTATGATTGCTAGACAAGACTTCACACTCATCATAGAATTCTATCTCAACATATGCCATGTAGCCCTACCTGAAACAGTAGAACTACAATTTTTACCTGGGGTGACAATATCCTGGGATTACCTGGTCGTAGACCCCCTGGACCCTCATGGCCACAGATACGAAAGACCCCTCCACCGTTTCGTTATACAAATGGATTCCTGAAAGGATTTTAGATCCACTTTATACTCCAAGGAGGCTAGGGTGACCTCAGTGTTACCTATTAGCCTCTCACCTATTTCCCTGCACACAGATCTTAGACTTATAAGCTTCAAGTACATTCGGCGGGTATTAACTGAAGACCAATTAAAAAATATTCCATCAGATTCCATTATAGGCACACAGAATGGGGCTATACCAGTCGTAGAGGAAGTCGCGAAGACCCTGGAAACTGTTGACGGGTTCCACTTGAGGCAGTTATGCGACATAAAACACCAACTAGAACAAGACCGCGATAGGCGGGCAGCATTGTACAAGAAGTACTATAGGGCTTTCAATGTCGTGGACAGGACTGATACTGCGCTTATGGCAACCAGCATGGGGCTAGGAGCAGTAGGTGTGGGGTTGTTGACCACCATCGTAGCTGCACCCGTAGTGCTGGGCATCGAAATAACAGCTGGGGTGGCAGGGTTGGCAGGGTTGGTGGGTAAGTTTGTATCCCACAGACTGCATCGTAAAGCGTTGAAGCACGATGAGATCAGGGTTCTAGCTGAAGCAAAGCTTAACACCATAAGTGATCATATTTCTGCCGCGATCAATGACAACAAGATCTCAGAGGAGGAGTTTCGTTTGATCCTCTCTGAACTCACAAAATATAATAAAATGAAACAAGAGATTCGATCCAAATCTCGTAAAAGTACTGCTATCAGTGAAGAAAGTACATAGAACAAGGGGTGAAAAAAGCCCAGCAAGCCTTTATTACGAACACCAAAGAGATTATAACCGATTCACATTAAACTGTTTCATCGAGGTCAACGTGGCATAGCGGCACAGTGCGGCACAGTAGTGCCACGTGTGGGCGAGAAGTTAACTGGGGGCTCAAAAGAAGTAGATATACTGGTGCGAGATCTAAGGGCCTGACAAGAGCTTTGCAGAGGCTTTTGTTGGACTTGATCTAGGACTATCATTATATCTACTACTATAATACGTAGAATTCTGACACATTTAACAACAATGTTGATGTTTATCATATTTTCATGTCAGTACAAATAGAACCAAGTACTAACAGCATGAGCCGTAGAGAATGGCGGTAACATTATAGGGCAGCCTAAATCACATTAGCAGTAGTTACAGCAGGCAACTCAGCTCCTCTACTTACAAGTAGTTGTACCACTTCTGTATGTCCCCTTTCTGCTGCTGCCATCGCTGGGGTTCTTTTCTTCCAATCTCTACTGTCGATGTCCACAATATTCTGTGAGAGAACATACCTCACTGTCTCTACATGTCCTCCTACACTGGCCCAGTGAAGGATGTTGTCACCGTCCACATCCACAAGAGACACACCAGCTCCTTTACTTACAAGTAGCTGTACCACTTCTGTGTGTCCCTTTTCCGCTGCCACCATCACTGGCGTTCTTTTCTTCCAACCTCTACTGTCGATGTCTACAATATTCAGTGAGAGAACATACCTTACTGTCTCTACATGTCCTCCTACACTGGCCCAGTGAAGGATGTTTTCACCATACCCATCCACAAGAGACACACCAGCTCCTTTGCTTACAAGTAGCTGTACCACTTCTGTGTGTCCCTTTTCCGCTGCCACCATCACTGGCGTTCTCTTCTTCCAACCTCTACTGTCGATGTCTACAATATTCAGTGAGAGAACATACCTTACTGTCTCTACATGTCCTCCTACACTGGCCCAGTGAAGGATGTTTTCATCGTACCCATCCACAAGAGACACACCAGCTCCTTTACTTGCAAGTAGCTGTACCACTTCTGTGTGTCCCCTTTCCGCCAAAATTCCACTGCCACCATCACTGGCGTTTTCTTCTTCCAACCTCTACTGTCGATGTCTACAATATTCTGCGAGAGGACATACTTAACCATCTCCATATTGCCTTCCTGACAGGCAGAGTGAAGCATGGTTATATGATTGTAATATCTGAGTGACCCATCAGCTGTTTTACTCACGAGTAACTCCACCACATCTTTATGGCCACAATGTCTTGCCACCATGATTGGTGTCATCTTCTTTGATCCTCTACCGTCGATATCAACAGTCTTCTTGGAGAGGATGTACTTCACCACCTCCACACTTCCTCCACGACAGGCACAGTGAAGGATGTTGTCACCTGTTTTATCCACGAGTGACATGTTAGCTTCTTTGTCCACAAGCAATTCCACCACGTCTTTGTGTCTGTTCTCTGCTGCCAGCATCACAGCTGTTCTCCCGCACCGTACTTTACCATTGATGTCCAACATGTTCTGTGAGATGACATATTTCACCACCTCTACATCTCCTCCCAGACAAGCTGCGTGAAGGATGTTGATGCTGAATCTATCGACGAGTGACACGATAGCCCCATTACTCACAAGTAACTCCACCACTTCTCTATGTCCCCCACTGGCTGCCCACATCGCTGGTGTTCTACCAATCCATTCTTGACAATTAACGTCCGCCCGTTCCTGTGACAATAGAAATTTCACCCTTGACAGGTTCCCGGTCTTCGAGGCGGTATGAAGGCCACACAGTGGTGGAGCTGTAACACAAAGTTCAACTCTATACACATCTTAGAGAACAAATTGGAAGGTGCAAGGTTAAAAATGCAGGATATCATATAGTTTCAGGTTTTTTTTCATATCAGAACCTTGCTCCATGTCCCTTTGCAGCTTCCACAATGACCAGTGTTGTTCCAACCCACTCCTTACACTTACTGTCCGTCCATCCCACATAGATGAGATTTACCTCTGACAGGTCCCCGGTTTTTGAGGCACTGTGTATTTCACAGAATGATGATGCTGTAACAAAACGTATATTTGATACTGATTTGGGGCAACATTTATAGAAACTAAAATAGGAGTAAAAAAGCTCGGGTCAGTGTCCTATATGTTTTAAAGCATTTGTTTCATTGGACGAAATAACTACAGGACACGATATTTGGTTGATTGTTGACAAAGTGCCATGGTGAAAAGCTTCACTGTTTAGTCTCTGAAATCACAAACCTTTTCCTGCAAATCCTGTTACATTTTCATCGTAAAGTTCATATGAAATGCTAACTGGAATTAGTCTGTAAAAGATGTAAAACCAACAACAAGAAATCACCATCGTGTATGACATGATCTCAAACATGTCCCTGTGCCTGTGTTGAATTCACACTCAGCTGCAATCAGCTTCAGTCCGTTTCCCAAAGATGACACAGTTCCTTTTCAGGAGCTCCTTCTATTCCATGTAATGAGTGATGGCATCATAGATGTAAGCCCCAACACCCTTTGATCACATGTAATATTGTTCATGAGATGCCGTAAGACGACTCGAACATTCTTGATGGTGTAACTTGGTGTTGAGAGTCACAAAAGCTATAAGGTATTTGACATGCGCTGTCACTGAAATCTGCCAATACCCATTCATTAAGTCAAACTGAGTGATCTACACGGCTTTACTAATTCTCTCCATGCAGTCATCCATTCTTGATGTTGGGTAAGAGTCTAAACAGTAACTCCTGGGTTTGAGGCAGATATCGGATCAAACAATCGATAATTGGGTGCAAGAGCAAAATATGGTTTGGTACCTGCTTCTTTGCTGACTTAGTGGTGATATGAAGAAGGCATACGCATATATACTTTATACACTATACATCTTGTGACGTGGGACACCTACCTTCCATACAGACCTTTCCACATCCATTCTCCACACACTGGGAAGTCAGACTGCAGACCTTTGATCCACAAGGTTGTGACAGAACCTTTTCACAGCAAGAAAAATATGAGTGAGTGAGTAATCTAACAATGCAGCAGTATTTACAACTTTACACGGAGTATTAACCAAGAGCAGCTCATGCGAGGCCACCTCGATGGGGATTATGGGAACTTTCAGAATGGTATGGTATTTCATCATTGGGATTTACAAGGCACTTGAGCTGTTTGTGGTTGCACACAATACTATCCGATATTTAAGACTGGAACCAACGGGCTGGCTTAAACTGGTTCATGACACAAAGGGCGAATGTATTTACAACTTTTCTGATAAAACAATATTACCAAATATACGAAACAATTTACAATTCATGATAAGATGTCAGCCAGCATGGGAAAATAGATTTTTCAGACCTACTGCTTAATAATGTCAATCCCTGGCTATTGGAAAGTTCGCGCTCTGATTCAATTCAAGAAATACTAGGAATGTGAAAGCCGTATGAATGTTTTATCATTTGTTTTATAGTATTTCTTCCATGTGGGAAGATCAAAGGACGACCATCTAATATTTGACGCGGAAATTCTCAATTACTTTGATAGGATTTCCATCAGAAAATAGTTCAGAGTCCTTGGAAGGTTTGTGTTAACGACAAAGATAAATACAATTTCATTTCAATTTCGAAAACATTAAGCCATTTTCGTTGACCTATTTCTGAACTTTGTTAAAACATAGTTATATGTGGTTGTCCTCGTACCACCTTCACATGGGGTACTACGACATGAAGTGCTGAAATCATTTACTACAATTGACACATTAATACAATTGTTTGAAACGTCAGTGACCACGATTAATGTTAAAGCTAAAAGGTGTGATGCCCTGATCCTGATAGAAACATTGAGACCAATGGTTTGTTGTGTAAAAACTAGGATATAAATATGTGTTATCTGCCTCCCCGTTGAAATCCATGCAACTCTTTTAAACCTGATTTACTATGGGAAAGTGACACACGCCTTCGCAGGTGGTTACTGTTCCCAACGTGTAAGACACTGATTCTTGATCATGCCCGTGGTTTTGTACACACATTCAGGTGGAAGGCTACTAGGGACTTCTGTGTAATGTACAGGGTGGTAATATTTCGCATGAGCATCGATCTGCGCAATTGGGAACCGATGACATGTGTCAACCAAGTCAGTGAACCTGACCACCGGATCCTGTTAGTCGCCTCATACGACAAGCATGGGTTACTGAAGGCCAATATTCTAACCCGGACCTTCACTGGTCTTCTCACTATGTTTTCCCAAGGTATATCCCGTTGTAAATCAGAGAATTCCTCCTAGAATTTAATTACCTAATTACCGCTATGGAGATGATCCGTGTCGATGTTATTTTGTTATCGTGAAAAGAACTAATCTTTCTGAATCATCATCGAAGACCTTCGAATCTTGCAACATGACACATTTCCACCAATTTCATGCAATGGTTGTGTGCATGTGCCGACACATGTATTTATAGGTTACACATATGCCATCACTCTGTTATATACAGGTTGTCTATTTTTCAATTGGTATCACTCTATTATTCGAAGTGTCTACAAAACAAGCGGAATAAGTTTGGTTTGAAAGCCAACGCTATGGAAACTGTGCTTGTCTGAAATATAATCAAAGTTAAGGTATTACACTGTGAAGTATTTTCTCTGAAACTGACAAATCCAATTGGTTATAATAATAATGATAATAAGTGTTCTTGTATAGCGCACAAATCAAACTGCAAGGCAATTTCTCTAGGCGCTAAAAGATAGAGTGATCTGAAAAAAGGATTAAAGTTCATAAGCTTGTTTAAAAAGGAAAGTTTTCAGTTGGGACTGGAAAGATTCCACGGACGCGGCTTGTCAGATGTGAAGAGGCAGTGAGTTCCAGAAAAGGGGAGCTGTGTAAGAGAACTGTCTATGTCCATATGACTTTAATCTGACCTTGGGGACATTCAACTGACAATTAGAACTTGATCTTAAAAGCCGTGGTGGGACATATTCACTGAGGAGATCTTTCAGATAGATTGGAGCTTTGTCATGGAGGCACTTGAAAGCGAGAGTGAGGATTTTATAATCTATTCTCTGTTTCGTGGGCAGCCAATGTAAGCGTATCAGCATTGGTGTAATGTGACTGCGCTTGTTGACTCGGCAAATCATTCGCGCGCCGCAGAGTTCTGAATCCTCCGGAGCTTGGACAATAGATCTTGGCGGATATTTACAAGAAGACTGCAGCAATAATCCAAACGTGAGAGAACAAGTGAACGAACTAGGTGGTGAGCTGCATCAAATGTCAGAATATCACGAATGGAAGCAATATTTCTGAGATGAAAATAGCATGACTTACAAACAGAGTTTACGTGTGTTTCCATGGATAAATTTGAGTCTAGAAAAACACCAAGGTCTTTCACGGAATCACTGAAAGGAACTTTCTCATTACCCACTACCAACGAAGACACATCCACCTTAGCAGTGCTACTGGGTGATCCACACAGCAAAACCTCGGTCTTACTGTCATTTAATCTCAGCTTCCTTTGTATCATCCATGCTTTGGAGTCAAGGATACAGTCTTCGATTATAGACATATCGGCTGGAAGTGAATCCGGTTTAGTGGAACGCAACAGCTGGGTGTCATCAGCATATGACTCGTACATCACAACATGATGCCGAATGATATTGCCGAGATTCTTCATATAGAGTGAAAAGAGAATGGGCCCAAGAACGGAACCTTGTGGCACTCCGTATGTAAGCTGATGCGTACACGATTTCACGTCTTGAATGACCACAGATTGTGTCCTATTATTGAGGTATGAGACAAACCATCCAAGAGCTGTGCCATGAATACCAAATTCTGTTTTCAGACACTCAGTTAGTTGAACATGGTCAATGGTATCAAAAGCCGCTGATAAATCAAGCAGCGTTAGAACTGTAACATAGCCCGCATCAGCTGCAGCAAGAAGTCTCTCCATCACATGCAGAAGTACGGTCTCTGTGGAATGATCGGAGCGATATGCAGACTGATGCACGTCATAGAGATCATTCAAGGTCAAGTGATCAACAAGGCGTACCTTGATTGCCTTCTCAAGCAATTTTGATATGAAGGATAAATTAGAGACAGGCCTATAGTTCGATAGTGTGTCAGCGTCTAAGCCAGGCTTTTTTCAGGAGTGGCTTAACAACAGCGACCTTCAGACACTTGGGGACACATCCGGAAGATAAACTGCTGTTTATTATCCGTGTGATCACTGGAAGCAAAACATTGCATATATATTCTCACAGTGAGTGAGTAATAATTTCAAATCACATCGGCCATATCGTGACTATGTAAGCTATGTATTTTTTAAAAACTTTGTATCTGTCTGGTTTACAATATGTCTCCGCCTGTTGTTCAATCAGCATCTCTCTGTTATAAGAAATGTCCTGAAAAAACGAAGCGGAACAAGTTACACATACACGAAGCACATTAAGACATATACACACAACGACATACACATGACATAGATAGCTTACACTGGGATGACTCTCAGGACGGACACTGGATCCGCGCGTCTCAACAGTGGTGCTGGATGCATCACTTGGCCATCGGCAGGATGCTAATATGAAGGAATCTTGGACACATTCAGTCCGGCACAACTTTACGTCAACATTTCCAAGAACGACAGATCTGCTTTTCATCTTCTCTGTCAACTGAAGTCCACATTCCTTTGTGCTGCATGTGGAAATCCCAATTATGAAGTAAACAGCTGATGTTAAAGCAGCCTGCAGACTGTTGCTTGGAGAAACAGGCAACATCGAGAATTGTTCACAGATGACGACAGAATCCGAATCTGATTAAAGGACTACCACAGGCTGCAACACAAGGGGGGCCATTACTTCCAGGATGACTATTGATTTTAAGGGGGCGTTTTTGGAACATTAAGACTCATTGTCAGAAGGGTTGTTGCGAGTCGCCGATATACCTAAATTTGTGGCTATATAACCACCGGTATACGTCCCCAATTCGTCACACACAGTACAGTTATCCCAATTCTTATTCAACTCGTTTCACGCTGTTTTTTCGTGAAAGAAATTCATTATTTAAACCAGGTCAAAGTTCCTCTAGGTCAAAGGTTAATCATATCACTCCTTGAACTTACACCATCGCCAGAAAAAGTAGTCCCTTTTCAAACTACACACGTTTAGTACGTGCACACAGACTAAATCTGACAATGATGAATTGATCATAGTATTATAGATAAAATGGACGGAATTATAATGAAACCGCTTTCAAGTTACAGAAATGAGTGGCCCGCTGATTCCTCAACTACGGGCCATTATCAGTTCTGTTGCCAAATGGAGCCATAGCAGGTGACGTCACGCTCCATAATGACGTCATAAACCTTGTTTCATGATCTAACAGTGTTGGGTCAACAGCCCATTGCGAGGAAGTTGTTTGAACTGTTTTGTCTTTTTTGTAACACAAATTCCACCAATTTTGCTGGATAGGGGAGTCCTGCGAAACAGCGTTACCCCAATAGTGTAGGGATACATTCAAAGGTTTCGGTGAATCGGTTTTCAAATTGCGACCGTATATGCTGCTTATACGGTCGGAAATTTATAGCATTGACCAATCAGAGCTCGTGTTACATTCTAAGTTGAATTAGAATTAGTTATTGCTCCACACCCGTTTCATCTCCTACAGTCGTTAATTCACGTCCAGTTCTGAATGCATCCCTTGTTAACACTTTGAAAGAAGAAAGACGAATGCACGGAATTCAGACAAATGACGTGAAACTTATTGAATCAGTTCTGGCAGGCTCGTTGGACACTGTACAGGCATATTTCTGTTTCGTGTGCAAAACAGCGCTTTATTTTTGAGCAACTTATAGACTAAACCAAGTCTGGTGCTTTAGACTATATCAAGTCTGGTGCTTTATTCCTTGCGCAATCTATATAAAGGACCACTGGACGACGCATCAACACACACAGTTACCAGAAGACAGAACGGTAAACAGTGGACAAAGGGGATGCCTGATCTA